CTCACTGAGAGGACAGTTTAAATGCCGAGTGCACTGCTGGGGAGCTCAGAGCTGGCATCACATACCTCAGCTTCCCAGAATAGCCCATGGAGAAAGGGACAGGGACAGATAAGCTGAGCAGTAGTTTGACTCTTACATTTTGTATTTCAACTCATCCTATGAAAGAAAGAAATTGAAAATGGGGAAGAAAGCCTTCTCTTTCCAAAGGTACAGAGGTACTATGGAACAGCTTAATCTACTTTCAATCTGTAGCCCTTCCCCAACAGAGAGGGGAAGAACAACCTTCAAAATACCTTCAATAATTAAATTAGGTTATTTTTTTAAATAAAATACTAGTTAGGAAAAGGCCTCAGATCTTCCTTGCACTGTTGGGCTGCAACACCTCTGCCCACCTTAGTGAAGACCCATGCAGAGCAGGACTAGAGCTGTGGGGTGTGGACGGATTAAGGTACACATACTTTCCTCAGGAATAATGGAAGCTCAGTGAAACTCTATGACATCTGGGCCAGGGATGCTCACACAAGGAATGGAAGAGCAGACTCCAATGGACAGTTTGGACAGACAAGTATCCCCTCTCACCTGCCCACTGCAGTCACAGGGGTCACTGAACTGGACGTATTCCTCCTCTCTACTGTACATCCCCAGGCCAATCTTGGTTACCTTTTGCTCAGAGTCCACTTGGAATTTCATCTTGGCCAAGTTGTCAAAGAGTTTGGAAAGATGGCACTGCACCTGCACAAGGAATTGTACAAATAAAGCCATGGAGAGAGGACAGGCAGAACAGAGATCACCACACATGTGACAGGCACAGTCCTGTTCACAGATGGACTTAGCCACCCTGGCAACACCACATCTTCTCCCTCATGGCCAGGATACTGCCAACAAAAGCCTCTTTCTGCCTCATTTAGCCCACAGACATGCCTTAAGCAATCAAGAAATCTCCCCCACAGAAACCACTCAAACCTTGTGTGATCTGCTGTCACCAGTTTCCCTGCATGTAGTGCTGAGAGGCCTCCAGTCATTGCTCCACCTCACCCTGTTCTCAGCACACTGGGAAGTTTTATTCACTATGAACCTTTCTGGTTTTTTGCCTCCCAGAAACCAATTTTGTGCCCATGAAAACTCCTCAATTTTCCTCCACCGACAAGGCAGACTTGTATTTCTGCCCAAGTCCCAGGACAAGCAGCTAAGCAGGCCAAACGTTCCACAACACCCCCTGCCCCCTGACCAAAAACTCTCTACCAGAAGGAAAACAATCACTCAGTCCTGTCCTGTTCCCACCCAGCTGAGTTTGCAAAGCCACGGGGGAGACACCAACATCACTGCTGAGGCTCCCAACACCAGCTCCTGCCTGGGGGAGCTGAGCAGGTCACCAGTGTGTCTGTTAGAGCACTACATACATCACACAGAGCTGAGAAGCAGAAGAGGACCCTGAGCTCGTTCAGCCCTGAGAGGGGGAGGGTCAGGTTGGATATCAGGACAAGGTTCTACCCCCAGAGGTGTTTGGGCTCTGAACAGCTCCCAGGGCAGTGGGCACAGCCCCAAGGCTGACAGAGCTCAGGGAGTGTTTGGCCAATGCTCTCAGGCACAGGGTGCAGCGCTGGGCTGTTCTGGGCAGGGCAGGAGTTGGACTCTGATCCCTGTGGGTCCTTCCAGCTCAGGAGATTGTGGTTCTATGATTCTATGACTTGTCTGTTCAATTCTCACTCAGTGACCCCCAGAGGATTCCAACCCTCCTCACAAGCTGTCCCACAGGTGGACACAGCTCATCCTTCTCACCTGTGTTCAAACAGGGCCAAATCCTGGAGGGTGCTATGCAGATCAAGAAGCAATGGGCACTCAGCTTCCCCCCACATAAACACATCTCTTTTCAAGCACTAAGTAAACCATAGAAACCTTTGCTTACATCTGGAAGTTTCTGCTCAGCCATGCCCAGTGCCCTTCCCAGCCCCTGGCCAGTCTGTGCTCCAGCCCCTGGAGCAATCCTGCCACAGGAGCCTGGGATACACCTGAGTGTGCTCCAGTTAAATATCCAGTTCAAGCATATAATGTCATTGTGTATTTAATCCTCCTTTGGGAATTATCAGGCATTGAAACTCCAGTGGAAAGGCTGAGAGCGTATCCATATATGATCCCACTCGACATTTACTTTGATTTTACTGCAAACAGTTTTGAATAACAGAAAGCACCAGGAATCTCTTCGTACTCCGTGGAGCATTGCAACACAGTGGCTTTGCTTTGCTTCCTGTGGTTTGTTCTCTCTGGTTTAAGTATCAATCAGCTGTGCCTTTATGACATTCTGTGGGCTGAAATCACCCAGCAGCACCATCACATCCCAGCAGAGTTAGAGGGGAGTGACAACAGCAGCATTTCCAAACCTGCCCCATGCATATGCTCACCTGAACACTGAACAGCAGGGAAAGCCTGAGGAAGGTGAGATTACTACTGAAAGCTGTAATAAGGAATGAATTCCTTATCCAACAGGCTCCATTTGCTGTAACATGTTGATTGGGTTTGTATACCAATCTCAGGATGGATAATGCATCCCAAGCCAGGCCAGACAGAGCACAGCACTGCCAGGCAAAGCTCTCAGGACCTTCCACAAGCCTCACCAGGGTTAGATTAGACAACACCCAGTGCACATGTTGCCTGTCCAGGATGACAAATGAAGGTCAGCTGTGGAAGATCTATGTGAGGGTGGGAGAAAAAGCTCTCCAGAAGGGATACAGCATCTCCCACTGTGACAGCTGGGAAAGGCAAAGGTGGCACAGTACAAGACTTACCAGATGTGGGTTGGTGCCATTGGAGAGAATATCCAATAAATCTGCAGAAGAAATGAAGTAAAATCTGGGAAAAGCCAACCTCTTCATGTCCAAATATTCAGCCAGAGCCTTCTCACACAAAGACAACCTGGGGAGACAAAGGAGCTGACAAGAGCCCAGACCAGGGGGGTAAATGTCCTTGTGTGCCTCATGCTATGGTGTGGGTTGTCAAGCAGGTTCTCCCTACCATAGGGAAATGCCACAGGAGCTGAGCCTGCTCTTCCCAGGACTTCTGAACCGTTCAGCACAGCACACAGTAACTCACAGCTCACTCTCCACTCCTGGGGTCAAACATCCAAGAGACAGGGCAGCCTCACAAAGCAGCAGAAACACAGGTGGAAGAGGAGGCTGGAGACGTTTGCAGTCTGACCTACTGTTTTACACAAGTTCTTAACTGCCACAGGTGGTTTCACACTGGGCTGAATGTTTCCAGAGCTGCTTTTATTCTAATGAGCACATTTTAAAGTCTGATTCCAACCTACTCAGCTTTCTGTGTTTGCAAAGCATGAAAGGAAACTTGTTTGCTCGGATCTGAAATGAATCTTGCAGTGTTCACATGCTAAACTGCTGCTGAGCTTACAAAGTTCCTAAATAACCTGCAGCTCATCCTCTGTGAGGAACACTGGCCTTAGCCCATTGAAAACCAAATCAAATCCTTACTTGAAATGGAGAGCTGCCACAACAGCTTCGTGTGAGCTCTGAAGTGTGTGCAGGTAGATTCATGTGTTAAGTGAGGAGTTTCCATCCCAGGACACTCAGGTGCTGCTCAGGGAGCTGTCACACCTTCTGACAAGGGTATACAGGAAGGGATAACTTTGTCAATTAAAGAATATGGGCTCAGCTCTGCCGCAGGTATCATAGGATCATGGGATGGTTTAGGTTGGAAGGACCTTAAAGATCATCTCATTCCACACCCTGCCATGGGTGGGGACAGTTTCCACCAGCCCAGGCTGCTCCAAACCCCATCCAACCTGGCCTGGAACACTCCCAGGGATGGAGCAGCCACAGCTGCTCTGGGCAACCTGTGCCAGTGCCTCAGCACCCTCACAGTAAAGAATTGCTTCCATGTATCCAGTCTTAAGATTTCTCTGCTCACAGTGCCAAAGAGCTGTCTAAGATAAGGTATTTGGGGTGGCAGCGAGGCCATGAGCTGCTGGAAGCAGCTGAGTGCCTGCCCTGAGCATGTGCAAAACAGTATTCAGGAGGAGAGTTCCCCCACACACCAAGCCAGACTGCACTCAGGGCCTCAGGGTGATGGGTCACAAATCAAAGGGCTTGAGAAAGATCAGACATGCTGTGATTTGTGAATGCAGAGGATGCACAGTCTCAGAAAAGCCTCAGAGCACAGGTTAACCAACTTCTGAGAGCTGATCCCAGTCTCTGACAACATCCTGGGCATGAAGATCTACCTACCTGCTCTGAATGTCCTCCAGCTGTTGGGACAGACCTGGTTTATTGGTGGCCTCAACCACATTTGGGGTTTTCTGAGCTTCATGGGCCAGTGCTTTAAAATCCACATCAATCCCTTCAAAGCGTTTGGAGTCCTGCAAAGGGACACAGAGGACATGGTCATGGTAACATACTAATGGTGCTAAAGGATCCCATACTTGGTGCTGTCCTTGGGATGAGGGGAATGCTCCTCTGCAGAGGGCATTCTGTCCAGTGCAGAGGGGATCCCTCACCATTTCCAAAGGCCTCAGACCACTCTCCAATTGGTGCCTTCTTATCACTGTATCCCAAAGACCTCCTGGATAAAGCAATCCATGCAAACATCAATCCCTAGGACCAACCACTTCCATGAGATTGAATTCCCCTTTGACTATCTCCTCGTAACTCTTCCCTCCCATGTTCAGATGAAACACCCAGTTTCCTTAGCCACAGCAGCAGGAGATGTCATGCAGAGAATCATACAAATGAATAGCTTAGGTTGAAAGGATCTTAAAGATCAGCTTGCTCCAATCCCCTGCCCTGAGCAGAGACACCTTCCACTAGCCCAGGTTGCTCCAAGCCCCATCTAAACTGGCCTGGAACGCTTCCAGGGATGGACGCCACAGCTGCCCCGGGCAACCTGTGCCACCCTTAGAGAGAAGAATTCCTTCCCAATATCCCATCCCATCTAGCCCTCTGACAGTTGGAAGTCATTCCCCCTCATACTGTCCCTCCAGGCCCTTGTCCCCAAGACACTCTCCAGCTCTCTTCAGAAATTTTTAGGTATTGTAAGGGGCTCTAAGGTCTCCCCAGAGCCTTCTCTTCCCCAGGCTGAACACCCCCATCTCTCCCAGCCCATCAATCAGCTTCAGATGTGCCCTGTCATCACATCCTCCCCAGCCCTTGGAAGTCATTCCCCCTCATACTGTCCCTCCAGGCCCTTGTCCCCAAGACACTCTCCAGCTCTCTTCAGAAATTTTTAGGTATTGTAAGGGGCTCTAAGGTCTCCCCAGAGCCTTCTCTTCCCCAGGCTGAACACCCCCATCTCTCCCAGCCCATCAATCAGCTTCAGATGTGCCCTGTCATCACATCCTCCCCAGCCCTGGGTGCATCCCAAGGAGGTTCAGCATCCAGAGCATCTGATCTTCATCCTTTCTGCTAGAGAATGGAAATGTAGGTTAGATATCAGGAAGAAGTTTTCCTTGTGAGGGTGGTGAGACACTGTCCCAGGTTGCCCAGGGAGGCTGTGGCTGCCTCAACCCTGGCAGTGTTCACAGCCAGGTTGGATGAGCCTTGAGCAGCCTGCTCTGGTGGGAGGTGTCCCTGCCCAGGGCAGGGGTTGGCACTGGATGAGCTCTGAGCTCCATTCCAACCCCCTAACACACTGTGAAACTATGGCCCCTGGGAAGAGGATGCTGCCAAAGCTGCCTGGGACAGCTCTGGTTTGAGGATTTGCAGTGTCTGAGCGATTATCCCAGTCCTCTCCCTTGAAGGGAAGAAGGAACACGCCTGCAGCATGGAAGGAAGCAGCAGCTTCCTGCTCAGCCCCAGGAACTCTGTACTTGCTAAGCAACAGTGGAAGGGAGGAAAGCAGCCCCTCAGCATGGCTAAAGCACAGCCTGAGGGACAAAAATTCTCTGGGGCAGCACTGGGGGCAGTCCCACAGCCCTGAGGGAGCCTCCAGGGGAGGAGCAAGGCAGCAGGAGCCGGGGGAACCTGGCACTGTAGATAACCCTGTAACAGGCTCTTCTTCCACACTTTCCAAACAGCAAACACAGGATTAGGGATTTCCTACCTTGGGAAGTTGTGCCCTGATGTCTTCTGAGCCTATGAATATGCTCTCCAGGTGAGACCACGTGCGCTGCACCTCGAACCAGAGGGCAATGACAGAGTCAGCAGTGCACAGCTTCCTCTGCCATGCAGACACCTCTTCCAAGAAGAAAGCAATGTATTTGGAGTTCATTAGGTTCTGCAGCTGCACCTGGTTGTCTTCTAAAGTTCCAATGAGCTCCTCATCTGACTTCAGCAATGGGATGTTGGTCCTGGGGTGAGGCTCATACTGGAACTCTCTGGTGCTCCAAGTCATCCTCAGCTCCTTCAGCACTTTCTCCATGCTCATTTCTCTCACTGCTTTGTCCACAATGCCATGGACCTCTGCCTCAAATTTGTGCAGGTTGAGCTTGAGGAGGTCAGCCAGAGTGGTGTCCGAGTCCATCACAAACCTCACACCCATCACCTGCATCAGCTGGTTCCAGTGCCTCTCCCTGATGGCAGGATTTTGGAGTTCTGCCACAGCCTTCAGGGCTGTCAGCATGTTCTTCACCTTGCTCTCCAGCCCACTGAATGCATCCCATGCCCTCATTTCCTTATCCAAATTCCTGATCTCTCTTGCAAACTTCTTACACTCCAGATCCATGTTTTCTACATTAATATCCACCCACTTGGTGGTCTGCCAGTCATCCAGGCTGGTGTTCACCAGGGAGATCACATCCCAGAGCTCTTTGAGAAGACACAGCTCCTTCCTGCACTGTTTCAGCTGTTTGTAATCTGGCACCATGACTTCAAAGAGACCAGCTGATTGGTGAATCGAGGCCATGGCTGCCTCCAGCTGCTTAATCTCCATGTGCTTTGCATCCAGCAGTTGATAAGGCTCTTTGGTGTCAAACCTACAAACAAATGTTGATTCTTCATAAGTGATGCTGTAACAACTTCTAAAGAAAACATAAAGCAAACAATGTCTCTGAGAGACACAGGAGAGAGGAAAGGTCTAGAGTAAACCCACGTGGCACTACCGACACCACCTTCAAGTGATATCATACACTCAGCAGCAAAATCAACCTCCTGCCAACACTGGGCAGTGTCACCACAGGGACAGAACACTCCAGGCACAATGCACACAGGCTGTGAGCAGGTAGGACATGCACAGAAGGGATCTGTGTCCCCAGGAGGAGCCCTTAAAGCTTTGTTTCTTTGTGGCCCCTCTGATGTCCATACCTGAAGGGAGCTTCTCTGCCGAACCTCTCCCGGAAGCGATGCTGCTCGGCGTCAAAGGCCATGCAGCTCTGCCTCACGACTGCCATCTCGTTGGCCTGCAGTGGAGCCACGTGCTGCTTCACAGCCACTGCCAGCTTCTTCACATGGTTCCACTTCTCTGGAAGCTCCTGAGGGCAAAATGCAAGTGCTGGGAGGCAACCTTAATATTTCCATGATTCCATGAAGACTTAAGACACAATTTGGGATGAAACTTCCAAGTTATCCATAATTTTGAAGGCTAATGAAGACTGAGACCCTATAACTGACTGCTCTGATTGTAGAACATGTTCAATAACTCCCAAAGAAGGTCCCAGACTCGATCCTGGGCTCCTAGGGTGGTTCAGTGCTCAACAGAGAACAGTGATGCTGACACCAAGCCCAGTGGGACCTGGAGCCTGCTGGAGAAGCTGAAGGCAGGATGGATGTGGATGCAAGCTCCTGCAGCCTCCCAGAGCTAAAGGAGCAGAAAGACATTTCCTGCCAGCTGCACCAGGAAGACTCCAGAAAGATCTCTGGGGGAAATATCTCCAGGCTGTGTAGACAATATTAGTGCTAAAGGAGACTGGTTTCATTCTCAGGCCTTCAACCAGCTGTGAGTGCACAGCATTGCAGACAACCCACCCTCTGGGCCTGGAACATTCTCCAGAAAGGGATTTTACTACTTCTCACCGTGCTGCTCAGGCCATAACCTAATATCCAGGCACTGACACCAGCCAAGGGCTCTGCTGTCCCCAAGTGCTGTGCAAGTCTACAGGAAAGACTTGGGATTTCTTTTCATCTCAGTTCACATAGTTGTGACTAATGGAGACCACCAACACTATGGAAAGAAGGGAAATAGCTGGAGGCAGAGCAAGCCCAGCCTCTCCTGAGGGGTCTCTCCCTGGCACTTTATATTCCAGTCTCAATAGAAATCACTCTCCATGACCACAACAGGGCACAAATGGAGCTTCTTCCTTTTCCTTCTCTCACCAGCTCCAGCCCATCCATCTCTACAGCCAGGTATATCTAGTGATACCTAGAGGAACTTCTGTATTTCCCACTGGATACAGAAGCAAATTAATCATTCACACACGTGTTGCTGTCACTTGTCAGAAAGAACAACTGGTTTGTCATTTCCCGCACCTGGCTGGCTGCTCCACATCCT